AAGTGCAGAAGCGGGCCACGGGTAGGGTGTATGGCCCAGGGGAAAGGTGCAGGAGCTAGGGAAGATGCAGGAGAAGGCTGGAGGTAGGGTGTCTGGCCAGGAGGGAGGATGCAGGAGTAGGCTGGGGGTAGGTGTCTGGCCAGGGGGAAGGTGCAGGAGCAAGATGGGGGTACAGGGTCTCAGTGGGAGGTGTACATGAAGGGGCTGGGGGTGCAGGAGTCTGTGCATGAGGGAGGTTGGAGGGCACTTACTTGCCTTCGCGCCCCACAACACTCCCAGGCACAGCCACTTGCTGCTCCCACTGGCCAGATTCCAGCCAATGGGTGCAACGAGAAAAGATTCCAGGCAGCGCGCCCACGCACTGCTGTTCCCCCAGCTCCGGAAGGGGGAGTGCAATTGTTCCCTGCAAGCCAGATCACGCAATGGAGCTTGGAGCTTTTTGTCCCCCAATTCCCCAGCAGGAAGCTGATGCTGGCACGCCAACCTCACAGGGGGTGGAGGAGAGAGAAGGCAGACAAGGCTGGAATGCCAGTGTGGACTCCCTGCTGCAGGGGGGAAGGAGGAAGGCTGAGCGCGAGTCGTTGACCACGTGGAAGGCTACCACAGACCACTACCACTGCACTTGAACAACATACCTAAAGACATGGTTATTTCTCCATCACATGATGTCTTTAAATCAAAACTGAAATGCTTAAAGATATGTTATAGCACAAAACAGAAATTTATTGTCTTAATGCAGAAATTACTTGGCAGGATTCCATGGTCTGTGTTATATAGGTCAGGCTGGATGATCATGGTGGTATCCTGACCTTAAAAATCTAATAATATCTGCAACTGTAAGGAAAACTTCCTTAGTCAATTTAAGAATGATTTCCCTGTGAGCTTTGCAGATGGTTTAAATCTGGGGCAACTCCAACAGAGATGTAGGAATCCATTTACTTCTGCACTTAAAACATCAATTCAGTTACATATATTTAATATCAGCATCTCCTGGAAACTAAAAATCTACTGAAAAGTACCGTAACTTGTGCCACTATTGAGGTATGCACTTTTTGGGGGGGGGGGAGAATAGCCCCTTTCTTGGTCTGGCATCTGAGTTAGATTTCAGGAGAATAAGCATTTACATTTCCAAAAAAAAGAAAAAGTTAAACGTCAGGGAATATATAAAACTGAATAGAATAAAAATTAGCCAAATGCAGATCTTACAAGCCTCACGAGGTGGTGCAGAGTGCAACAAAATTCTGGGGACACTCAGAACCAGCAGAAACCTGCATAAGGGAAGAAAGAACAGATCTTCCCTTCTTTTGCTGGCTTTGTCCACCTTCCAATCTCAGACCAGCTCCTCAGTCCCTCCAGACCAAGGGAAATCACACTGACATTTTAAACCAAACACTTTCTAACCTTCAAATGCTGCAGAATTCCTGCCTCTGCCCAAAAAACATTTTTCACTGAAACTTTTGGAGTTTTCTGACTAGCTATAATTGTAAATACTAAAATTAATATTTACAACAGCACCTAGTGCAATGGGGAGAGCAACTGCATGGCCTTCATGGATGCAAATTTTGGGCGCCCTGTTTTACTAGACAAAAGAGTGCATTTTCAGAGCAATCAAAGATGGAAAGTTGCCATACACTGCACTATTTAAACTGACAGTGGTGTGTGTTCCAACCAAATCACAGTTGTGCTGTCTGAGAGAAACATCTGAACTGGAAAAGAAGCGTGGGTGGAAAATTCAGAGTGTGTGTGGTGGGGAGGGGAGAATGTACATATAAAGCAAGCAAGAGTAAAACCAATTTCAGAGAAGCCTCGGACCATTGAGAGAAGCCTAACAAGAAAATTCCCCATGTTCGGAGTTAAATAGAAATTAATACAGCTAATAAACCTTCATTGCTACATTCTAGGAATCTCTGGATATTGGCTTTTTGTGCCTATACTACACAATGCAGAGACATATATCTGGAACGTCAGAATTGCTTCTGTAACTCTGTATTCCATCTCCCTACACTTGACTCTCCAGCCAGTCATTAAATCACTCTAGCCATCGTTGAAATAGATATTGATTAACAAATTTCATTTTAAAGAGGGACAAATTGATCCTTGTTAGAAGTTGCTCTTCAAATGTCCCAACTAGATTGTCCAGAAACACAGACAATGGCAGTAATCAATTGGAGCACACTTTTTTATGTCCTGGAAGCTATGGAGTGCTGCCAGGGTTAAAGACTGTTTGCCCAAGAATCTGAAGCACACTTATCTCTGATCAGATTATATCTATTTCATTTCCTCTGTTAGTTACTGTACGGCTACAACTGACACAATCACAGAGCCCCAAGGCTGTAACTGATATCTGAATAAAGATACTTAAGCACTTCTAAATGGGAATGTGCACAGGAAACAAATTTAGGAAATTCTGCTTTCTGTTACAGGAAATTAATCCTGTGCCAACTGCTAGAAATTACCCTCACTGTTCCAAAGTAAGAAGAATACAAGCATACAAGTTTTTTTACTCCATTTCATAAACTGACCTCTCCTGACATGCTAATATTTTATTGATCTAGAATTTCAAAGGTAGACTTTGGATGCCTGTTAAGGACTTTCATAGATTCCTAAAGGGAATGCTATTTCACAGCATCACAATTTTCTGCAGAGTTTAATTAGTGCTGGTCTCAAATTTAGTATCACCTGTTGTGAAACACAGAGTAGATGTCTGACTGATACTTGTACCATTCACACCTACAGACGAGATGCCTTCACTGTGATGAAGTATATCTAATTTCTGAAAGCACTTTCGATTCACTGTTCAAAACATCACAAGGAAAACAATGCACACTAAAGTATAATTTCAGAGAGCTTAGTTAATATAGTTACAAAATAAAAACAACATGTACTACAGCTACATTATCTGAAAAAAAATTAAAGCAGGAATTACAATTGGAAATATGTCAAAATTCACTAAGACTATACAAGCATGTAGGTAAAGACACAGAGGCCATGAATGAAAATAGCTAATAAATTCACTAGGAAACAGCCTCAAATACCAACCACAAAAATTGAACATCTGGAAATTGTTCAGATCCCATTTCAGTGCAAAGGCACTTCTGTAAAATTAGTTGATTGGCAGGGGCAATACTAAGGAGAAACCCAGATAAGCTAAATGAAGAGCAAAAGTATGGTTCAGGAGCAGCATTTGCACGATGCACTCCAAGCACCATCAAGGTATGAATGCCCTATATCATAGTGAGCACAAGAATTTTGTTTACAAAAGTATTTGCTTGTAATGATCCCTATAAGCTGGGTCAGGAAACCTTCTGTCCTCTTGATTGGAGATCATTGCCTATTTGAATGATTAATTTTAGGAAACAGGTTATAAGCATATTCAATGTAGGGCAAGTCATCACCACAATCTTTTGAGAATGTATATTACTGGATTCATCTTAGAATCTTAGGCTATTTGAATGATTATGCCATTTCTTATATGAACAGCTCTTCACCCTTAACTAAGAGGAAACCTAGCTCATCTTAGAATGTTAAAAGTGAAAAATTATTTATATAAAGTAGTAAGAAAAAATACTTCAAAATCAGCCAAAAGTCTGCGTATCATCAATGGAATTTCCAAGAAAATTTTCAGTCTTGTAGCAGATATAAGGAAGTGTAATTTTATTCTAAACAAACTGTTAAGAAACCATTATTAGCATTGAATAATTCACAGTTTATGTTATATTGTTTGGCTACATCTAGACTACATCCCTTTCTTGGAAAAGGGATGCAAATTAGAAGTATCGCAATTGCTAATGAAGCGGGGATTTAAATCTCCCCCGCTTCATTAGCATTAAAATGGCTGCCGCTTTTTTTCGGCATGGAGCTTTGCCAGAAAAAAGTGCCAGTCTAGACGTGGATCTTTCAGAAAATAAAGCCTTTTCCGAAAGATCCCTTATCCCTTAAGCTACTCTAAATTGCACCTCTGGCATATGGCCCATATGCTGTTGGAGGATCAGCAAGCAGAGCTGTGTTCTGACACAGGCTCCACCCTGCTTTTCACATAAGATATGTCTACACAGCAATAAAAAGCCTGCAGCACCAAGTCTTCAAATTCAGACTAGCTGATTTAGGCTCAAGGGGATTGGGCTCTGGAGCTAAAAATTCAGGTTCAGGCAAGGGCATTGGCCTCTGAGACCCTCCCCCTTGCTGGGTTTCAGAACCTGGGCTCCAGCCCATGCCCAAATGTCTACACTCTTCTATTTTTATTTGTGAAAAGCCCAAGCCGTGAGCCTGACTGAGTCAGATGCAGGAGCAGGGCGGCCGCCCCGGGCCCCGTGCTTCAAGAAGACCCGCGCATGCACCGTGGTGCCACCGTGCATGCACCGTGTCAAAGGGGGGGCCCTGTGAAATTGTGCTGCCCTGGGCCCCGCAAAATCGTCATCTGCCCCTGGCCAGATGACCTAGACCAGCTACAGTTCTCTTACTGCATTGTAGACATACTCATCTAGGTGGGGGACTGCACACAAAAGGGCCAGATCCGGCACAGATGCACCAATAGGGAGCTCCCGTCACAGAATAATTCTATGTTGGAGATGTAAGGTCACTTTATGGTCCCCCCTTTGTGCCATTTGACTTGCCTGGAATAGGCCTGCCTTAAACTAAAGAGGAGTTGCAGTTCTCCTTGCTAAATATAAATAAAATTAGTTTAATATATATACACTAGGAGGTTTGTCCACTTGTAAAATATTTACTGTTTGACGTGTAATACTTTTTTTATTTCCCTATTCACTCCTCTAGTAAAGAGGTTTAGATTGTGCTTTCTCTCAATAGAAGTGACAGACTTATTTTAAAATATGCTAATGTGACAGTGACATAATTCATCCTTAGGATGCATCAGCAAGTGCTGATGGTTTGACGCAGAGCTCTTACATTTCAAGGAGGCTTCCTTCAGAAATTGCCTATTTCAAGCCTTTAAAAACATTGGAAGGAAAGTGGAGGGGAGGAAGGAAAATAACAAGTCTCACCTCATCAGGGCTGGAAGCCTGGTACACCCTGCAGGAATCTTCATAGTCTCTCTCAGCTTCAGCCTGATCGGTCACGCCATTAGATTCGTATACTGGTGTCACGTTGTGACAGAGGGCAATTGCTTTCACAGCCTCATGAACACGGCTACTCATGGTTTTACGTACTTTTGTGGCTAGGGTGGGGCCTTTTGAAGCTGGTGGCTCTTGTGCCTGCTAAGGAGAAAGGAGAAAAGAACACGTAGACAGTTTTGAAAATAAAGAATACTCGAGTATCATTAAGGATCTTGCTTCTGTTATAATCACACACATACTATTTGCATGGACTCACGCCTCCAGTTCCTTGGGATATATTTCTGATGAAGGCATCTTTTTTGTACATGTTATCATGGGAATAACTGAGATCAATTCACAGTTATGTGCAGCTAAATGAAATTAGATATACTTAAGTATAGGTGAAATGAAAAAAAAAAAACCACCACCCAATAATTCCCTAAAGTATTTGTCCAAGAGTCTTCAGCACAGCTTGGATGAAAGGTTTCCTTGTTGCAGATTCACTAAAACACAACACAACACACGCATCCCCAAAAGTCAACAGACTGTGTGTTTCACTGAAATCACATTTTGCTGAGATCCTCTTAGGTTTCAGAATGAACTGGGTTTCGTTTCATATGCATAAATAAATGATTGCTGCAAACAGAAAACAGATGGGGCACACAAGGAACGAGAAATTTAAATTAAGTTCGTTTAATTTTTAATACTATTTTTAGTATCAGAATCAGATTCCTCAGGTAATTATACAATTACTAAAGTATACTAGTCACACAGGGGAGACATAGCAATTTAGTTTCCTGCTCTGTTAACCTTTAATGTCAAGAGGACAAAAGTTTCACTTCCAGGTCAAAGGGCATAGCATGGTAAAAATAAGAGCAATGAATAAGAAGGGCAATTTAAATGAATCATTACTAGAAAATGTTTATATTATAAAGTATTTTTTTTTATACAAGAACTTATAATATGTAAGATTTATGGGAAGTTCAGGACACAAATTTTGTACAATTAAATGCTCTCTTCAAAATGCCAGTGTCTAATAAATCTAAAATCTGGGTTTTTTTTAACTGCTGCCCATCATTCTAACATTAGAATGTCTTTCACATAAAATTCATAGCAATAGTGAACTTGTTTTCAACCACATTTAATCACTAAGGGTATGTCTACTGAAAATACCCCAAAATAACTACCCAACGTCTACACAAGCCGCCCGGTATTTTGAAATATTTTTCAAAATAACGGGTGCCCTATTTCGCCATCCCGGTATACCTCGTTGCACAAGGGATAAGGGATGGCTTGAAATAGCGTGTTATTTTGAAATCTGGCGCTGCGTAGACACGCCAAATTTCAAAAAAAGCTATTTCAAAATATATTCGAAATAAGATACCCAATTTGCGTAGTGTAAATTGCTTACCTTATTTCAAGTTCAGGGTGCTGTGTAGACACACCCTTAGTGTACCCAAACATTCAACCATTAAAGTTTAGCATCCTGCACTGACTACCACCGGATGCTTTAGGAAGTAATTAGCTACTAGGACAGTTTCTTCACCTCTCAGACTGTGATGATATTAGACTACACCTGATCAGTTCACAGAGAAATGTTTATACACAGGAAGTATCTGGCAGTTCAGACTGACTAGCAGCTCTCAATGTCAGATGCCAAAATGGCTGTGAAAGCCAAAGATCAAAAGAGAGGTAGTTCATGCAGTCAGATTCAACACATGAAGATTCTGAGATGTTTGACAATGTCAGCCATGAAACTATACTTGAGAGGCAAAGGAATCAAACACACTACACCTGAGGCACACACTACAATGAAGATCTACTGCTCAAAAGGCCACATATCCATTGGCAATCTTATTTACAGTAAAACTCCAATTGTCCGGCATCCAGTGGTCCAGCACTCCTGATAGTCCGGCACCAACTGGAACTGGAAGTGCTCCAGCCAGCCGGACAATTGGAGCTGCTCTGCCCCTGGCTTCCCCAAGTGCGCTGCTACTGAGAGCCGCTGCTGAAACTGACCAGCGGCTGACTGGGAGAAGCCGGGGGCAGAGCAGCTGGAGTGCTGCCAGGTTGGTCCCACAGCGCCGCCCTCTCCCACTGCCCTCTCCCATGCTGCGCAGTTCCCCGCCGACCCCCCACCCCCACCCCAGACGCCTCATAGCCCCCCTTCTGGTACTTTAGCAGATCTGATAATCCGGCACCCCCTGGGTCCTAAAGGTGCCACATTATCAGAAGTTTACTGTATTTTAATTCTTAGTGAATATCGTTTTCATTGAATTTAAAACACACTATTGCAATGCACCAAAAAGTTAAATTGTTTGGCCTTCTTCATTTCACTCATTTGGATTGGAAATAAAAACAAACAATAAATTTGTTCCAATTTTTTTTAAAGTCCTTTCACTTTCAATTGTGTTGGGTAAAAGTTCTAAGTCTGATTTTTACTGGATTATTTCCCTTTAAAGGAGACAGAAAAAAGTACTAAAATGCAAATTTCAAATAATAATTGAAGGCTTGAAGTATTCTATTGCAAAGGGGATTTGTTTTTATTTTTAAAAGATTGTAATGTATTATTGATCACAAATCTAGGACAACAGGATGTGTGTTCAAAATTCATGGACAAAATTCATGATAATTTTTGGATATGCCCTTCATGATATATTTGGGCACAGCTGTGGTCATTACTTTTACTTCATAGGAAGTTGCAGGAGTGAGTGCTAGCATTCTCTCACAGGTTTACCTAATTTATGAGAATGATGAAAGAAAAATAAACTACAGTACAAGTCAATAAATATTTTCACCCTTATTGTTCATAAGATATCTATTTGTTATATAAACTGAACCAAAAGAGTGCAAGCACATAAACAAAGACACCACCACTGATCCAGGACTGTTCAGTACAATGCAAAAGGAATGCTATGGAAAAATCTCCCTTTATCACACAGTCATAGGACTAGAAGGGGACTGGAGAGGTCATCTAGTCTACTCCTCTGCATTCATGGCAAGACAAAGTATTATCTAGACCCATGGTATCCAACACACTAGCCACGTGTGGCTATTTAGCAGGTTGAGTGTGGCTAGATGGATTGAACAATGTGGCTATTAGCCCAGTTGAACATGGCTAATTTGCTTCAGAACTGGTTAGACACCATGGATCTAGACCGTCCCTGAGAAGTATTTATTTAGGATGGTCTTCTTTTGTAAAATTAGATACTGTTCTTATGAGTGTTTAAATGGAGATGTTTGGTATTTAAAGTTGACACAAACTTGCCGAGTTTCAAAAGTACAAAATGATGTTATATCAGCCTGAACTATGATTTTACACCATTTTTAAAAGATGCAGAATACCATGGAATAATTTTCCATGCGATAGCCAGTTTTAAAAAGTAGATATTTGGTCTGCACCATAAGCATTCTAGGACACCTGTCTGCACAGAACCCACCATTAATACAGCCCTCCCACCCCACCAGCCTTTACTCGCATCACATAGTTCAGTCCTCCTGCAGCCTCGCCTATGAGGCTCTTAAGATTCTTCACCATCACCAATGGGGGGGCTGCAGAGGGATACCCCCTTCCACTTCCCAAACTGGCAGAGGAGCCCCAGCTGCCAGGAGCTGACAGCAGGGAGCCCCTTCCACAGGGGGCTGACAGCAATTTCTAAGTAAAATTAAGCCTCACTCATAATCTTGGGATAGAACTCTCAAATATCCGGATTTTTTCCCCCAGCTGCAGCTGCTCTGTATGGTAATCACACATATATAATTAATCATGCAGCTATCTATGTGTTTTACCGAATCTCCACACTATACAGTCAGGATCCCTTTATGAACAGCCTAATGACCTGTCATACTCTTCACTGCTTTCAGAACAAAGAGTTAAGTTAATCACACTTGACTTTACCTGTGTATAGATACTAAATATATGGCTTTGCACTTCATCCATGGAGTCGAGTCCATAGGCTACTGTCCCAAGGTGAAGCCGTTTAAAAACCATCTCATTCTGTGTGAGAGTTCCTGTAAGAGAAGCAGCATTTCAGGCCACATCCAAGCCCAGGCAGACTCTTATTTTCCACTCAACCCCTATTCTTTGCTCTTCACTAGAAAGAGAGAAAGGAGGAGGTGGAAGCACACGTGTCCAGATGACTATAACAAGCAGCTGCAATCAAGTGAAAGAATTTTAAACTTGTGGATAGATTCTTATGGGGAGCAGTAGAGGACTTGGTTAGAAGCTCCATTAAAATGAGACTATTCACCAAGTAACCTGCTTAATAAAATATTGATATCCATGTGAAACCCTGACTCCACTGACGTCAATTTCAATTTAGCAATTGACTTAAAATGGGTTTGGGATAACATTTAAGAGTGTCCCAGAACGCTAAGTTAATAGTGAAGCAATAACAATTAGCATTCCAGTAGGCAACATATTTCTGTTCCTAAAGAATGGTTGTCTATAGATTTGGATATAACATATTTGGCAAATTTACTGCTCACTGAATAATGCAAAACATCAAAACTATTCCCCAAACCCCCACAACTTGGGAAATGCTGATTCAACCTTTTACCTGGAAAAGGTCAATTTGGTTTCACAAGTCAAAACATGTTTCAAGCCAAAAAAAAAAAAAAAATCAGTTTTTTCTTGTGAGGAAAATTTTTTTAAAAAAGAGAAAACAGAATTTTAATTTTGTATATTTCTGCCAACTTCTGAATTGAAAATAAGCCTCTCTTTAAAAAGCAGCAAGTTATTCCAGTCCCCCCTCACTCACAGAACAGGTGCTAAAAGCTGACAGTTCTGAGTGATGATGAGGAAAACACAGAACAAATCATAAGAGGTAAAAAGTCATCTATGCCTCTTACTCATATATGTGCACATCCCATTAATGAAGAGTTTTATTAGGAGAACAACAACAAGATTCAAAATGTATATAACTAAGGTACTGAGCCACATGTTCTAAAAGGAAATCCCTGCTAAATAAGATATTGTATATTCTTCCACATCAAAGGAGCACATGAATTCATTTACTTTACTGTTGGAAGAAAATGTTACCCAAAGACATTCTTCACACTTTTGTTGATACTAAAATGCCTGATAACTCATTTACTTGCATACCTGTTTTGTCTGTAAGTAAATAGGATATCCTTCCGAGCTGCTCTGGAATAGTGCTGGATCGAACCACTGTTCCAGGAATTTTGGAATCTCTACGGATCATCCAGCTGTAAACTATTTTCCCCATATCCAGGTTTACACGTAAGCTATATTGGGGGGAAAAAAGAATAAAAAGGCAAAAAAATATATATATAATCTGAGAATGTGTCCCAAAGAACTAGAATTCTAAATTTGCTGTGAACTTTTGGACTACACCATGATCTGCCACAGGAAAGTGCTGTAATAAAAGGATGGTGCTTCCATATTAGAATTGAACACAAGAAGATGTTGAGGGAGAACCACATAGTGGCTCCTGTGACAGCAATAACGGACACACCATCTAAGCAGGGATACAACAATCCAACAACTGAAAAACAAGAGGTTTAAAAAAAAATCTAGTTTGTGGTTTGCTTTCGTTTACTTGCCCCCTTCACATTTGCTCAACACTCCTCGAGGAAACAAGAAAGCTTATAGAGCACGAGAAAGGTTGTCCCTGAAATAGACATTTCTAATCCCACATTTCTGGAGATCTCACAAGAAAGTCCTACAGTAAAACCTACACTATCTGGAACTTAAGCATCCAGAAAACTGTAGAAATCGGCAAATTTCTGTTGCTGGGAAAAGCAAAAAACAAAACAAAAAATAAAAAAAAGGAAACTGGCCCTTTAAGTGCCAGGCCGCTCCTCAGATGAGTGCGCAGCACATACCTGAGGGAGGGGCGATCGGCAGCTGGAAGCAAGCAGCAAGCATCTTGGCTCCCCCTGTGGCTCCTGGCACCCCCAGCACGCCCCCCTCCCTCATCCCCAGCAGGCCACCCCTGCCATCTCTGCCTCCTGGATTCCACACCTCCCCCCACCAGGCTGCATCCCGCCCCCCACAGCTTATGGCCCACCTAGCAGGCCACATCCTGCTCCCCCCCCCCTTCAGATAACCAGAATTTTTAGGTTACCGGTATGCCATATAACACAGGCTTTACTATATATTGTAAAATTCTAGACGTGTATGTTGAAGTGCAGGACACTAGAAATGTTGCTGGGAAGGGTTAATAGATTGGCTTACCTAATAGGAATAATGTTTGAAAACAGGAGGAGGAATCGTATGATCTGAAGATACCAGCGGCCTGCAAAATGCTGGAGGGCCACCATCACAAGCGAGACCACCACCAGGGCTCCAAATAGGATTTTAGTGAGACAATTCACTTCCAAGTCGAACAGGCCAATCTAAGCAAATGAAATAAAATATTTTCTGTAGCATAAATTTAGATGTTAATCCACTAGTGTGTGGATTAATCCACTAGAGTGTGGCAGGAGCTGCCATCATGCCTTGAAGTGTACATGTGCTATGGTGCTGATGCATACATTTCCAATGCAGAAATGAGTGCAATAATTGAATGAGAGCTCTACAGAATATGGGGATGGGGAACCACACAAAGCTAAAAGTGGATTAAAATTAAGCATTAGTCAAATCAACTGACAGTTCCAAGACGGACAGCGCCAGACACATTTTCATTTCGTCACTTAAATCTCTGGACTGTTTTGCATTTCAAAGCAACACTTTCCCCAACTCAACCTGCATGTTTCCACACTTTTATAGATAAAATATCACAAACACCGGTGTGCTACTTTCTAATGTAAATTGCCTTTAAAAAAAAGTATTCAGAAGTGATCAACTCTGTTAGCACTTGGGTGAAGAGATCTAGGTCCCTTATATCATCACCAACTGGTCACTAACATCCACAGAACTAAACTTAACTAAGGGTCATGATACAACCTTGTGTGTAGACAATTTCAATTATATCTTTATAGCTTAATCAAGTTTGGATGCAGTTACATTGGCATAAATGTGCTTATACCGATAGAACTTATGCCTGCACAATAAGCCAAGTCACTATATCTAAGTGAATATTAGGGGTTGTACTAATACAATGACCAATAAACAAATAAGAAGTCATGCCTCTAACATACATCGCTATATTAGTACAAAAACCAATTATAGACCAGGTCCGAGGTAGTAAGAGATCACCTACGTGGAGTATCCTAAATTGCAGACTGGAAGTCAAACACAATTCAGCTGATGATGCCCAGTTCACACAATGTTTAGATATTTGCTGTGCAACCGTCAGAAGCTCAACATTATCTTCATGACAACCCTTTACATGGCTGCCCTCACTGATAATGTTTCATTTTTCTCTGAAACAGCAGGTGTACACATACACAGAGTTCAAGAAGGCAGCTCCAGTCAGTCCAATGGGGTTGTACCTATGTGTCTGAGGTGGCACATCAAGCCCTCTGCCTCTCTTCCTCCTGTTGGGATTGTGCCAAATTGGTGGGACCACTACCGAATGAATGATGCAAGCATAACCTGAAATTATTTAAACATGGCCGAACAACAGAGGATTCTGGGAGCGGGTACTCTTTAAGCACAAGTGAACTGAAGTAAATTTGATGAGTCAAACTCACAAGGATTGCAGACTGGATTGCATGTACTATCAATACTGGACTTACTGGTCAGGAAATATCATATGAGCGAAGTTCCAGCATGAAGCACAAGATGACTTGGTCATCATAACCTATCAGCAGATGGTCTCGCAGAAGTCAGAATGACAGATTGACAAGTGAGTAAAAGAGGGGTGATTTTGGATACCACCCCTCCTAGTCCCTTCCAATCTAATTACCTAAAATTAGTAAATACACATTAACTGTGCAGGCTTTTAAAGACATGTGAAAGATAGCATAAAAGTCAAGCAAAATAAATTATTGGTGGATGGGATCCATTAATTTGAGCATCTGAAGAAGCAGTGATGCTCCACTTTGTGGATTATGGGACTATGAAGCAAAGTGCTTTCAAGGCAATCAAGGCCTTTCTTTGGGAAATCAGACCAGAAAACTGAGATGAACATGAAGAAAAGCAACAGAGGGGTAGCTGTGTTAGTCTGTAACTTAAAAAAACAAACAAAACAAGTGATCCTGTAGTACTATTACGTGCTACAGGATCACTCTTCTTTTAAAGTTTTAAGAAAAGGAGCTATCTGTAGATTGGTAACCATCTTCCCTATTTGCCAGACAGGCACGGTGCGGGGCTACCACAGGAAATGTCTGTGCATGTTTGTGAAAGAGAGGCTCATTTAAGGGAACGTGTAGTTTCTAATGTATTGCTATGTCTAACATAGGAGCTATGTGGTTGATGTAACTCTTGTACTGCTGGAGTAATTCTTTCTCAATAAACTTGCCTTGCAGGCTTCAGTTAAATTCTCTGAACTGACCTTTTTCACTGACAGCAAACAGTAACCAGCTCTGCTGGGAGCCATTCAAGATCCAGGAGGGACAAATGAGGGGGAGTAGGGATAGGCCACAACCTTATAATGCTATCCAACACCCCCCACACAACTATGGGGCTATGGTTCTGCAAGAGCTAGATCAGAGATTGTCAGACTCTTTAATACTGTGATTGCATGCTGACTCCTTCTCAACTAGTCATCTTCACAAATGCACCTCATAAATAATCTTGGTTCTCATGGTGCTTTGGAAAAGACAGGGACTTGAAGGGTGGTATCACAGAAAGCAGTGTAATGATTTCATGGGATCTCTCATATCTGAGGAGAACGGACTGCTAAGTACCAAGAAAACCAGCTTAATCAAATATCAGAAGTAGGAATAAGTTCACAACCCACAGGTTGAGTCCATTGTACTATGGTGGCCCAACAGTCTACAATTGTATATCAACAATGAAATACTGTACCTTACTTCGTGGGTTGGAAGTGTTCATGACACTGCGCAGTTCCCTCCCTGTGTAAAGAACAACTCCCACAACTGTGCCTAAAGGACACACAAAAAAAACTTGATGTATATGATTCTGGGGTGAACATGTTAATTTTTTTTTCATGGCTGGGAAGATGCTTGTTTTTAAAAGGTTCATTTTATTCACAGACTCAAAGTACAGACACATTTTTAGTAGATTTGTTAAGCAGACATGCATGGAGAGCTCTCCTGCCCCTCCAACAAAACAAAACAAAACAAAATTAAATCAACTGATGCCGTACACAGGATATAAATTGGAGGAGCAAAGAAACTGATTCTGAATATAAAACTCAGCCTCTCCCCACCCGCCCCGACTCCAAATGCCAATGTTTGAAGCTGGATGCAGCACTCTTCAATATCATCTTTGCAATTAACCTTTAGGTAACGCAACATAGCTGAATCTACTATAGTGCCTAAAAGGATAAGATACACCTATTTTCCTCTCAAACTCTTAGTGTGAATTCCCTTCCTGTTGTACTCAAAGTAGTTGAAAAGCAGGGGTTCTAGTTCCCTCTCATCTACCACCAGATAACTGTACTGTTGCTTAGGTCACCATTCCTAGGAGTTACAAATTGTTTATGCCTTACTGTTGCCCTCAAACAGTATAAAACAGCCTCTTCATTCTCGTGGCCATTGCTACCAGCTCATGGAAATATAATACAACGTCTAAACAGCAGCATGATTACCTAGTTGCAGAACGTCAGTGTTGAAAGTGTATTTGGCAACATGTCAGTATTACACATTTCTGCTCAAGCTCTTAACTCCTGTGGGTGATGAAATAGGACAGACACCCCAACAAGTCAAATCAAGTGAGTTCTTCCGTACTTTGAGGACAATGCTGGTCAAATGTATCTAATTTTCATTCTGGCCCTAGAAGCGTTCAATCATCCTTAAACTGGTGCACTTCACGAATCTGAAGTCCCTATCACCCTGATGGCAATTTCACTGAAACTGGACAGTGCCATCAAATGTGATTATGAGCCCTGGTGGCTTTCCCTTCCTGTCTCACAAAGATTGCGGCATTACGCCTCTCTCACAGGGCACATAATAAGGTAACTTAGATTTAATGATGAGTTTATGCACCTATTGACATATATTCATCTTGATAATCTTCTCATATGCTCATGGACCTGCATACACAACTTGTGCAGGGTACATAAACAGCTATTAGGGACTATGCTTTTCAAGATATTTTGTACAGATATACATAGACATTTATGCAAGCCGTGACTCCAATTTGGTTCTCTCCCTCAATGTGCTGCTTGTCGAAGATTTACTCTGTGTGATAAAGCAGAGGTCCCCAAATTGTGGGGCACAGAGAAATATTTAAGGGGATAGGGCTGGGGCCTGAGTCAGGTGGGAGGGTGAAAGAGTCAGGAGGGAAGCACCACTCAACTCCACTGCTGGCCTCAGCTCTGGCTGCTAGCAGTTTTCCCCTCATTTTTTCCATCCACGGGCAGAATAAATTGTGTTACGTGCACCAAGATATATATTTTTGTGCACTACCAGTAGAAACCCCTGCTGCTGGTTGTAGGAGCTCTGCTCATCAGCTGGGCAGCATCTGAATCTCTCCTGGGTGGCTCCCAAGTGCTCAGCTTACACAGAACACTGTGTGTTGGTCTTGTACCCACTGCTGCTGGCCTCGGCCATCCACGGGCAGAATAAATTGTGTTACGTGCACCAAGATATATATTTTTGTGCACTACCAGTAGAAACCCCTGCTGCTGGTTGTAGGAGCTCTGCTCATCAGCTGGGCAGCATCTGAATCTCTCCTGGGTGGCTCCCAAGTGCTCAGCTTACACAGAACACTGTGTGTTGGTCTTGTACCCACTGCTGCTGGCCTCGGCTTGGCATCCCGGCCCCTTCCTGAAGCCTGCTCCCAGTGCGAGCTGTATGCAGTGGAGGGCGGAGGGGGGGTACAGACAGGGTTACGGGAGGGGTGTGGGTTTGGGGACCACTGTACTCAGAGCTGTATGGAAGGATGACAGAATGATTATCCATAAATGCAATAAAACTTTCACTACACACAACTTAGCCACTTCAATATTAGGAGCACCATAATAAAGAAGGCAAGCTGATCTGCAATAGTTAGCATAATATTCTTTAGGCGGCCTGCTTACTCCACTGTCATGGATGAATTATCCAGGACATGAATCAGAAGATCTGAAATGATAAATATTCCTGATTAATTCTACATTTCAGGTTGATCCTTCTTGTGTGCAACTGTGGAAAAGTGCCAGATGATTTCCCTTCTACCATCCCTATCTCATTTTTTAAGAATTAGCTTTCCCTTTTGTCTACAGTTACATCCAGAACGGATGTGTATTAAAGGGCTTTTTTCCCCCTTCATAATAACTGACAGTTAAGGCTAGCAGTAGAGTCATGAAGACTAGTAACCTTAAAATGAGAGCTAATTAAATTGAATTCTTTGAAATCACTTTGAAGAGTCTTCAGCAGATTTGGAGAGGCAGAAGGCCCAAGTTTTATCAAACCTTTGGAAATTAAATTCCTAGTCTGTGCTATGGTTTGTAAATTCTTTTATCAGAATTTTATTGTTAAGAAACAGAACTGCATGAAGTTTCTGTATGCAGAGCAGTGACATTTCATCCAAACATGAGAATCCTTTTTTAGACACAGGACTTGATCCTGCTTCATTCAAGTAAATAGAAAAATTCCAGTAATACTGTTTTATAGTAGCATTCTAGAGGTGCCATTATGCTAGACACAGTTCAGACTAGGGATGTAATAGTGTAACTGTTTAAATGGCTAACCGATAAGCATGAACAGAGCCAGCAGGTGGGAACTGGTGCATGCTGGGAGCTGGCTTAAAAAAAAAGCCAGCTCCTGGCACGCACAAGCTCACCAGGAGCAAGCTGGCAGGCAGAAAAAGGCTTAAAAGCCAACTTCCAGTGCACACCTGCTCCTGGGGAGCCAAGCTGCCGCCCTGCACTGCAGGCTCTGCAGTATAAAGCTTATACTGCAGAGCCCACAGTGCAGCCAGCTCCCCGGGAGTGGAGCTGGCAGTCGGGAGCTGTTGCACTGCGGGCTCTGCAGCATAAGCCTAATGCAGCATAAGCCCATAGCGTGTAACCACTAAGATTTTTATCAGTGACATGGTTACCTAATGAACCACTTTTTAGCCTCCCTAGTTCAGACAAATGTCAAGAAATCACTGGTCTGAACAGTTTTTACAGCATTAACAGAGAGGCAAAGGATGGGAGAAAGGCTGTTAGTCATTTGGACCACAGCAAGGCATAATCACATGAAATAAATAAATGCATTACGCAATTTTAAAGCTATATTGTGAATGTTAAACAAGACCTATGCCTACCTATTCCCAGGAAGAGATAGACTCCTACTATGCAGGAACAGATGGGGCTGCTGGGAGGTGACAAATATATTTTAATGCCAAAATAAGTATCACACTGAACCATTTCAAAAGGGCTAACAATGAGTGCAAGCCCTACCTCTCACAAACCAGGATATTATTCTAGTTGATTTAACCCACTGCAGTTTTAATAACTTTAATTCTCCCCACTTCCATTAACAACCAAGGTTGCAGACGGCTGCAAACATATTATTTTTAAATAACTTAAAATGTAAAACTAATACACAAACTAAAAATAATCGTATGACGTGTTCTTTAAAATTAAGTCTCTGAAGCCAGATGGCAGAAGGTGGCAAGCACACAAATTCAGATCAGCAGATGGCAGGCTACACCAAATCTGACAGCAAACAGCAAGTAGAGTCAGACTTGCTCCTACGGCAGTAGCAGATGGGCATGCTGCAAAGTTTGAAGGGCAATTTTCAGTGGGTACTTGCTAATTGTTTTATGAATATTTGAAATAAACCACGTTGTATAAGCTATTTAAAAAGTGATTAAAATATTTTAAAGTACCATTTTTATAGACAGATGCCACAGACACTTATGTAGGTCCACCAATGGAATGGGGGCAAAGGGTGAAACTGGCCTGGGCACTGGTGATTTAGAAGGGTCTGGATCTCCTGGCCTCTGCCACCACTACTGCAACAGTCGTGCTGCCCAGAGCCCTTTAAAATCACTGTGAGGTGCACTCCAGGCAGCACTACAGGGGGAAAGGGAAGAGGCGCGCCACATTCTGGCCAGCACTGAGGGCTGGCTGCCTCAGGCCCTTCCCCTTCTGCTCAAGCGCCTCCTTTCCCCTCCGCAGCTTGCCCAGGGGCCCAGTGAGGCTGTGAGCTCCCTACATTTACATATATGAGTAACTTTTCTCACAGGTATAAGTGATGGATTGAGCCCAAACTGTAAGCTTTTAGAGATAGAGGAAAAAGCTTTGTATCTCTTTGTACCACAGATAGAACAATGGTCATCCAATCCTAATAGGGGCTTCTGGGAGCTACTGTAAATACTAAGCTTATCAAATAGTTCTGACTATATGCACAGTTTCTCCCCCCATAGTACAAATGCCTAAACGTGACAGCCTGTGCGCATATGAGCACACGTGATGGCATAGAATGGGAAGAACATAACGCTCTGCAGTCACACCTGAGGGGGAGAACCTGACCACACTGAAGTCAAAAGGACTTCTACCATTGATTTCCATGGGGACATAATTTCACTCAGGGTATGTCTACACTGCAGCACTATTTTGAAATACCTAGCACTATTCCAAAACAACTTAGTCCGCATCTATACAGCAGGCAGTTATTTCGAAATACTGCCAAAATACTGTCAAGCTGCAGGACTTCTTACTCCAACTCCTGTAACCCTCATTGTATGAGGAGGAAGGGAAGTCGGAGGAAGAGTGCTCTACTTCTAAATGAGTGCTGTGTAGACGCTCCATATTTCAAAATAAGCTACACAATTGATGTATTTTGAATTAAACCCTGCAGTGTAGACACACCCTCAGTGTCTGGTCATGTCATATGAATATAGAGCATTAACAGGTCAGGAAAGACGTCAGAAGATTCTTAAATAATATAGTTATAGTTTGAAGTATCTATTACACAATATAAGTAAGCTAGAAATAGAAAAACACATCTAAAGAGGCAAGAGTTACTAGGACAATGGCTTTTCTGCCTCTGTCTTCTTATTTTAAGATTTGGACTGAATTAAAAATGAGCTTTGAACAGCCTATTTGTTATTTCAAGCTGCACGCACTAATACTGGTGTTGTTTGCACTATGGGATGGGAGTAGGGGAGGAGTTAGTTGTGAATCACTTGACAGTTACTGAACTATAAACAAGATTTGCTCTATTATATTCAGACAGTTGTATCACATATCACTGTGACAATATCCATTATATCTGAGCATATTTTAAAGAGTAGGAGAAGGAAAATTAGATGGAAACATTGTAAAAATGAAACACTTACCTTTCAGTGTTAGTAACAAAGTGGAACTTTTTGAAGTTCATATTCCTTCTCATCCATCACTTAGTGTAGCGTCTCAATATACGGCTAAACACCATACAGTGCAATCTCTAAAAACTCCAACACTTTAACCCCCAAACTGTACTGCAGAATTTCACTCTTCTTCTGACACTCTGTTGTAGTTAACTTGTAGGTAACTTAGCTAGTGAAAGAACAAGCCTTTTCTCCTGACAAGCATTTGGAAGAGAACATTGATTCCTCTTATTCCTTGCAATTTTAGTGTGTGTATAACAGGCCCAAAACTATCAATTATCACAAAATGCTTTTTATTTATAGAACCACAAACTAGTGGAAGCATTTACCTAGAGCTCTTTTATGTTAGCCTCTATTACTAGACTCTATTTGACACAATTTCTGTTACAGATTAGAATGTCAGTGTAGCAATTAAGTGCTATTCTGGTAACAGACACTCAAGCGCCCAAAGGCCCCTGGAATTCCAGTTCCTTCTCATCTATAAACGTCCAAGAGGTAATTAACTGTCAGCTCAGCTCCCCTGAGATGTTAAGACAAGTGGTAAACTTCATTCCAACTGCTAAATTCTCCAATTGACAGAGATGATTATGCCAAATTACAAAAGGATTTTTAAAAATTGCTAACATACTCAAAAAGCTACACATGCTTCCATCTTACCTGATGCAATCACTGTGCTGGCCCATAGTGTGTTCTCTATGCTTAGGCTTTCATTCACTGGAGGATCGCTGTCCTCCTAGAACAAATACACAGAGAGCATTGAAACAGCTTACTAGATGCATTCACGACACAAAGGGTATGTCTACACTGCATTCCTCTTTCTAGAGAGGAATGCAAATGCAGCCGAATGAAATTGCAAATGAAGCGTGGATTTAAATTTCCCATGCTTCATTTGCATAATTGCATCCAGTCGCTATTTCCAAATACACTATTTCGAGATAAAAAAACGCTGTGTAGACGCGGTTATTTTGAGAGAAAAAAGCCTTTCAAAATAACCCTTAAACCTCATTTTATAAGGAGTTAAATAACCGCGTCTACACAGCGTTTATCATCTTGAAATAAGGTATTTCGAAATAGCGGCCGGACACGATTATGCAAATGAACCGTGGGAAATTCAAATCCGCACTTCATTTGCAATTTTGCTCAGCTGCATTTGCATTCCTCTCTCAAAAGAGGAATGCAGTGTAGACATACCCAGAGAGAGTTGAAGTGGGGGAAACATCCTGAGCTTATGAAAATCCTAAAACCTTAACTCTGCCATCAGATCCTACTGACTGGACTAGAAATATAGGCACTGAACAATGGGATGAAAGGTTGGGAGCAGAGGAAGCCTACTCTTATGCCTTTTCCGCCAGAAGCAGCCCCTCTCCAAGTTAGGAACAAGAAGTGTGGCTTGTTTCTTATGACTGTTTGAAACTTTCTACTGAACCATCATGATAGGCAGATTGTGGGACCACAACACTAAGAATATTTTTCATCAACTCACTCCATTCTTTCATGCAAATGGATGACATGTTTCTGCCTTTTATTTCAAAGTATCAATGAAATTTCTCCTTTCACAGTTTAAGCTGGTCAGAAATGCCTGGAAAGCAAAATAAATAATCTGAACCAGGCCAGTAAATGACACAGAGTGATCAGCATGCTATATTTAGCATCCTTTTTTCAGGACTAGCATGCTCTATCTTTGGATTATAGTGTCCAGGGTGAGTCAAGCACGGTTTAAAACTAATATTACATTGCTTCTCTATCCGCATAGTCCAAGGAGGTCTACAAACCTTCCAGGCTCTATAGGTGCCCAAGCTGCTCCCTAGTCAATGAAAGTACTATCTCCTGAAAAGCCAATCACGGGATCTCCCCAGCAGCCACTGGATGATGAGATCACAGCCTACCTCTTCAAAATAAACAAATGTTGACAAGCAATTCAGAAAGTGACCTAAAAATCTCTCAGGGTTTTTACCAAGCTCCTCACACAAGAGGGGCAGGGAACCTTAAAAATAAGGAACCCATTTTTAAGATGCATTCATCGCAATCCCCTTCCCCAGTGAGCAGGAGAAGTTGTCTTTAGGTCCAAACATTCAATGCATCTCTCCTCGCCACTTCCCCCACCTAACAGGCACCTTAACTTTTTAAAAGTGATTCCAAGGGCCTTGGCCCAAAACAGATTACAGGAAGTCCCCGACTTACGCGGATCCGACTTACGTCGGATCCGCACTTATGAACGGAGCTTTCTCGCCCCGGAAGTCGGGGCGAGAAAGCCCCCGTTCGTAAGCTGCTCTGGTGCCCCTTGTCTGCTGAAGACAGTCTCCAGCAGACCAGGGGCACCGGGCGGGTTCCCGCGCTTCTGAGGCTTTGCCAGAGCAAAGCCTCAG